AGCCATTAAAAAGATCATAGTCAGAATGTCAATTTAAGATATCTTTATTGTAAATGCTGAATAATTCAAGATATCTTTAATTAATTTAGAGATATCTTAAAAGGAATTTCATATAGTCGAAATTACAATTCAAGATATCTTTAAATTTGTTTTGCCTAGTCATTATTTGCTTTTAAGATATCTATAATTTAGTGTTCACTAGTCAAAACTGCATATATCCAATCCTAAAATACATTTAAGATATCATGAATTATGGTGGCATTTGCCCTGCACATGTTTCACAAGCAACCTGAATACATTTACATTATAGAAAGAAAAAAAAACTCAGGTACATACCTTTGTTAATACAGACTAAACAAAAGTGGAAACCAATCAAAAAGAATACTCCTTTTGTATGAGTGATGCTAATGTGTGACTGAAACATCTACAAACCTGATTTGTGTGATAAAGCCCCAGGCTGACTCTGACTATATGACTATTGATCATGCTGCTAAAAATACTTAAATATGTTTAGAGCTTCTCCATCTGGATTTATGAAATGGCATAATCTGAAAATGAAGACTAAAAAATGTTTTAAACACAGTTAGGGTAATCAGGGAGTTATCTGTGTCCATGAAGCTAATGTGTTTATTTAATAAACTACTTATGCGATCCCCTGACTCAATTTGCATCTGAGCTAACATTAATTTAATCAATTGGGTGGCAGAATGTTGAATTACACCAAAATAAGAGTTTACTACTCCAAAGGGAAAGTTCAAATATACAAAAACTCCTATTAGGATTTAAACACCCATAATTGGGTATGTGTCCAAATTTGCAGGAACTGTTTTATTCTTTATATTCTTTTTTATTTTTTTAAGTTTATTGAGATATGTTGACATATTCAACATAAATAAGCAAACCAGAATCAGAGAATTTTGGAGCACATCCATGTGTTGTTGTTTTTTTTCTTCTCCTTTTTCATAAAGGCCCCATTCATTTAAAGTATTTCAGTCAGTCCCACTAAGCTCTGTGTTAAGATAATAATCCTGGTTTTGGAATTTAGTTCAATGGTTTTTCTTTTTTTTAATTAAAAAGTGGACTTCGAGTAGTAGTAGAGGACAAAAAAGCTGCATGGAGGACTCCACAGATTGTGCCAGTAGATTCAGGAATGAATTGCAGCTGTCAGGACCGGCTGCAGAAGCACTTTTCCTTAACAGTGTCTGCCACACTCACAGCATGTGGTTGGGTACACAAACAACCATATAAAAGTGCCCAATGAATAAAACATAACAGTAGCGCCTCTTAGTCAAGCATATGCACATTAATAAAATCTAACAATCTGATCCTTTAAATGTTAAAAATGTGGAAAAAATAACATTATTACACGATGATTCCTGTGAAATAATAAAGGAAAGCAGATATAATTATGTCTTCCTTCTTTAATGCTGTTATAGTTATGAACACCAAATGAATCGGTTAGAAGGGAACTTTATAAGCTGTTCAGACTATAAAGAACAATTAGGATTTGAGGAGAATGTGTTTGTGTTTTAATAGTTTACAAAGCATATAAAGCTTAGTTAATCACTAGTCCATTGACTTGTGTTTTGTACCATGTTTTTTTCTTTGCACCATGAAACCAAACCCAGGTTTCCAATGATTCTTTACCCACCCATTCTTTTGCATCAAAACCACAGATTTTCTGGATCATATTTGAGTTTAGTGAGACAGAATAACAGAAAGTAATGCATGGTTTTAATAGAGGAGGGAAAAGGCTGGGGAAAAAAAAAATCTGAATGTGTCTAGCATCAGCTATCCATCCTCTTCTGTTAATCTGGGATTGAGTTTCTGGGTTAACTGATCCACTAAATCCCAGGTATCTTTTTGCAGCAGTCATTTAGAGGGTACAGTGCAGATGCCTTGATACTCACTGGCTTTATTAGTAAAAAAAAAAGAAAAAAAAAAAAGGACAGTTTTAAAACACTTTAATAATAATAATTGACCTTTATTGACCTCACATTGCAGAAATTCACTCTCTGCATTTAACCCGTCCCCTTGGGTAGCAGAGGGCTGCAATTGTGCTGCGGCCGGGGAGCAGAGTGGGGTTAAGGGTCTTGCTCTGGGACCGACTGTTGGGAATGAGCCAGGTACTCGCAACCTTCTCAGAGCACAAGCACACTGTTTTAACCACTAGGCCAACATTCCTCATTTAATTTTCTAAAAAAACTTAACTTTTCTAATCCCTCATATTAAATTAACTATAAAGTAATCATTAAAAGCCAAAGTATAATTCAGCATTAGAGTGCTCTAACCTTTAGTAATCTGAACGTTTTACAGCATGAGCATGAGCATTTTAGGTGTGTTGCAATGTGAAACACTCACCCAGTCCAAGAGCATAATGCTACATAGTCATTTCCTTATGAAGGAAACTGATTATTCAGAGATAATTTTCCACTTGTCACACTTCCCTGACATGCAACCCTTTGGCAGCCTTCTTCATTTAACCTCTGTTTGGGCTTGAAGAAACCTGAATGCTTCCAGGGAAATCTAAGCAA